TACCTCTGTGTGGAAATTCATCAAGAGACAGCTTGGAGACTCCTTCTTTCTTTCTTCTGTTGATTATGCGGTTCAGCGTCAGTGGTTAGTCAAAATCCACGGGCATCTTCATTCAGATGTGCAATACTGTACATTTTCGGAGAGTTTTTGTTTTGAGCGTTATTTATAAGATCATAAGGTTTGCGACTGTCAAACGAGACGCTCAGACATTTCTGCATTATGGACTCAATGCATGTTTTATTAACTTTAGTAGGTTTGCACTTTGCAGTTATTAAAAGATCAGTGTTTGTATTTCCCTGTGTGCTTTTATTAATATCGGTTTTGTGAAAATGAGCATCTGTTGCATAAATCATTATATCTTCTGGTGTCTATAAGCAGCGCATACAGTATATTTTTACGAATTGTTTGCATTAATTAACAAATACAACAAATCTTTAAATTAGTCATAGGCCTAAGTATTTATTCATTTGATCTTTTTACAGCATGCGTTTTCATCTAAAAATATGTTTGATGCAAAGATAACTGTATAAATGTAATATTTGGATTTCTCCGGCTCTCTGCAAAGGCGTTTAGAAAAACCGGAAGTGTCTATATGCAACTAGCCGGTTGAGTTTAAAAACGTCTTTGTGAAAGAGTTATACGCCATGAACCAAACTAACCAGCTATGATGTGATTCCCAATACTACAACCTTTGATACGAAGCAAAAAAAACTGTTTAAAAATCGGACAGAAAGACAAAAGGTACAAGACTTACTTAATGGCTTTAATGAGGCATAGAACTACAATCGCATAAAGCACTGGGAATAACTGCACTGAAAACGATGGATAAATATAAAACTATTGATTTAAAGATGTTGTTTAAGTATATAGAAAGAGCATATTCTCGTGTGTATTGTAAAATATGCATTTATATACAAATATTTAAGTGCTTCATGGGAGGGCGTTAAAGAGTTATTTTGCTGTGAATTGCTTGTTTCTATTCTCTGATCGGTGGAGATTGTCTGCTGAATTGTGGGTAATGTAGTTTTATTGCTCGTTTCTATTCTCTGATCGGTGGAGATTGTCTGCTGAAT